AAAACAATGCACTTGAAATTTACAAAATAAACCGGTTGCGCAAACAACGTATCAATAACGTTTTGAAAGTGTAACTTTGGTTTATTGCTGTATAACGGTGTTTTTTATTTTACAAAAACTAAGTGAAGTTTCTGTTATTTTGGAGTATTCTCTACAGAATGGCAACAAAAAATAATGTAAAACTGCCTTTACGAAATTGGACTTTCGCACAGCCAAATGTATCATTTGACCTAATGTGGATATGCTTGAAAATATTTCGCTAAATTTGCCAGTAAACTTCCACTTTAACATAATTTTTTGCAGGTAAGATACAAGAAATATGTAGTTGTTGGGGTATTGTCGATCCGGAGAACTATGCTTTGCAATTTTGTGATGTAAATAATCAAAAATATGTCACTGAGATAAATCGCAATGAAATATAAAATGGGTCAGTATTGCGACTGCAGTACTCACCTTCGAAAACTGCAAATGACACGCTGGAATCATTGCGCAGCGGGTCGACAATGGAGAAGACAAAATGTCTAAAACAACTCGCCACACTAAGTAAAGATCATACATTTGCCATGGAATTCATAAAAGAGCAGGGTTTAGGTATAATCATAAATATGATAGAGGATTCTGCGCAAAAAGATGACGATATACTCAAGTACAGCTTGGCCAGCTTTGTTGAGCTAATGGAGCATGACACAATTTCATGGGAAATATTGCAAAGCACTTTTGTTCAGCGCAATATTTACATAGTTTGTAATTTTCAACATTTCTCCAAAGAATGTACACAAAGTGCGCTTTCCAATTTGGAGAATATCGTACAAAATAGCAACAAGTATGTACTAGTGGAAAAAGAAGTCACACTACAAGATCTACTGCACCTACTACAAGATGCCAATTCGGCGACAATTCAACAGAATGCTATAGTCCTCATCAATGCACTGTTTATAAAGGCGGATGAGGCACGCAAACGGCAAATTGCGCACACGATTAGCGCCAAGCCATACCGGTTGGCTTTGATTGGCAACGCATCGGGTCGTCAAATGGAGATGACGCATCAATTGTATGTTTTGCAAACACTCACTTTGGGTTTACTAGAGCAAAGAATGCGCATGAAAATGAATGCACAAGATCAGGATGCACATGAGAAAATTAAAGAATTGCGACGTATTGCATTTGACGATTATTCTGGGCAAATGGGATTAGGCGATGAACAGTTGAGGCGCTGTGGGGGCGGTTCAGGCGGTGGTAATGTGAATTTTTCGCAATATTACAAGAAACTTGGTTTCAAATGTGATATCAATCCCGCACAGGACTTCATTGAAACGCCACCGGGTAAGTATTTAGCCACTGGGCGCATTTACATACATACATCTCTACTCTAAATAATGCCCTTAGGTATTTTGGCTTTGGATTGCATGGTTTACTTTGCACGAACCTATACACAACAGTATACAAAAATTGTGCATGAGAACTCATGTCGGGCTGATGAGCATGAATGTCCTTTCGGCCGCACCTCTATCGAGTTGGTGAAAGTGCTATGCGACATATTGCGGATTGGTGAACCACCAGCCGAACAATCTGCGGATTTTCAACCAATGTTTTTCACACATGACCATCCTTTTGAGGAATTCTTTTGCATTGGTATAATAACATTAAATTGCACATGGAAAGATATGCGCGCTACAGCTGAGGATTTTCAAAAAGTGTTTATCGTTGTCCGCGAACAAATAACGCGCATACTTAAGGAACGTCCGGAGAATCTGGAAGAGTTTCGCGCAAAAATTGCTTTACTTACCTATCAAACCATAACTAATTTACGTCAACAGGAGCGTACATCAAAAGAGGAATGCGATTCAACTGCATCTGCTATTGTCAAATTGAAAGAAAAGATCTCACCTCATATACTCGACTTAATAAAACAACAGCGACTCTCATATTTGGTAGAAGGTGAGTGGAAATTAAGTATTATTTATGGCAACACATATTATGAATTGTTTAAATTACATTTCTTAGGCACACGTTTTTCGAAATACTCACGCGGTACACGCTCCAAAGACAAATTCTGGTATGCTCGCCTCTCGCCTAATCACAAAGTGATACACTATGGCGATTGCGATGAGAAAACCGTGCCAACGCTTGAAGA